TCTATTTCCTTGTAAGTCCAAAGTTCACTGGTTGAAATCCTAGTGTGAAGAATATATATTTTGGGGATGGTCTATTTGTTTTCTTTTTCAAATGCAATTTATTTAAAACTCATATAAGGTTAAAAAGAAATTCCCAGTATTCTCAGTATTGGGGTCAAGAATGAGACTTGTGTATTCAGAAACAGAGGCAATGTGAGCAGGCAGAGCTGGGGTATGAGTTGGAAGGTCAGAGTCTGTTTACAAACTGGTAACAGGAGGAATGAGAGATAAACATATTATCAGTTTCCACCCAGACTGCTGGGTGAAGCCCAATGCAACATACTTCCACATTTTCTTTTTTTTTTAATTTTTTTTAATCCTCACTCGAGGACATTTTTTGTTATTTATCTTCAGATAGAGTGGGAGGAAGAGAGGGAAGAAGAGAGAGAGAGAAACATTGATGTGAAAGAGACACATCGAGTGGTTGCCACCCACACAACCTCAACCAGAGGCCTGGGACAAACTGCAACCAAGGCATATGCCCTTAGCAGGAACCAAACCCAGACTCTCTGGTCCGTGGGCCAATGCTCTAATAGCTGAGCCAAACAGGCCAGGGCGTTCCACATTTTCTTTAAAAAAAAATTATTTTTATTGATTTTAGAGAGAGAGGAAGGGAGAGGGAAAGAGAGATAGAAACATCATTGAGAGAGAACATCGATTGGCCACCTCCTGCATGCCCTCACTGGGGATCGGGCCCACAACCTGGGCATGTGCCCTGACTGGGAATCGAACTGGTGACCTCTGGGAGCATGGGTCGATGCTCAACCACTGAGCCACACCGGCCAGGCCTTCCACATTTTCTGATTGCCCCATTCTGACTCCCCACAGGACTTCTACTTACAGAGGTTTATTTGATTCTTGAATTTCAAGTTGAACATTCTATGTACTTGAAAAAAAAGTCATATAGTCCTGAAACACTGTCCTGGCATGTAGGTGGGAGAATGGAGGAGCTCACGCCCTCATCAAAATCTCAATGGGAAATGTTTATAGATTTTTGTCCTGATCACTATTGAAATTTAACCATGAAGCTTTAAGAAATTGTTCTAGGGTGTCAGGGGTGTGGTGGGGAGAAAGGAGAAACATCTGTAACAAAAATAAATTAATAAAAATTGTAAAAAAAAAAATTGTTCTAGTCTCCTTATCTTTCATCATTCCATTTTACCATTCCTCTAACTCAAAATACACTCTACTACCTATTGGCCCATTACCTTCTAAAAAAAAGACAGGATATCTAAATAAAATTCCAAAATTATATTACAATGTAGAATATCTTTCAAAGGACCTGTTCTTTTTAAAGCATTTGTTTTTCTTTTTTTTTTTATCCTCACCTGAGGATATTTTTCCATTTTTTGTACAGATAGAGTGGGAGGGAGAGAGAGGAAGGGAGAGAGAGAGAAACATCGACATGAAGGGACACATCAAGTGGCTGCCACCCGCACGACCAACCAGGGCCGGGGACAAACTGCAACCAAAGTACGTGCCCTTAGCGGGAACCGAACCCGGATCTCTCCGGACCGCAGGCCGATGCTCTAACCGCTGAGCCAAACTGGCCAGGGCGCATTTGTTTTTCTTTTTAAAATAATTTAACCTTAACATTGTCCCAGAAAAACCAAATGGATATTTTTGCAAATAGCTCTGTGTGAAGAAAATGCATTTCAGCTCTTAGATAGGACTGGCCTCTCTCTCCAAACTTTCTTTTAAAATCTTTTTATCATAGCCCTGGCTGGTTTGGCTCAGCGGTTAGAGTGTCAGCCCGCGGACCAGAGAGTCCAGGTTCAGTTCCCACTAAGGGCAGGTACCTCGGTTACAGTTTGTCCTCTGCCCCGGTTGGGGCTGTGTGGGTGGCAACCAGTCAATGGGTCTCTCTCACATCAATGTTTCTCTCTCTCCCTTCCCCCCTCTCTCCCTCCCGCTGTCTGAAGATAAATGCAAAAATGTCCTCAGGTGAGGATAAAAAAAAAGAAAATAGGAAAAATAATCTTTTTATCATAAAATAAAACACAGAAACAGAAGACGACCCAAAGGAAATGTTTGCCTTAAGGCAAAGACCCTTGTAACCACCACCAGGTCAAAGAACATAACTTGACTACCTGCCCTTGGAAGCCCCTTCCATGTCCCTTCTCAATTACTACAACCTAATAAGTAACTATTATCCTAATTTTTATAGTGGTCCCTTTCACGTCCCTTTTTCTTTCTTTTTTTCTTTTTTTTTTTATCCTTACCTGAGGACATTTTTCCATTTTTTGTTCAGATAGAGTGGGAGGGAGAGAGAGGAAGAGAAAGAGAGAGAAACATCGACGTAAAAGGGACACATCGAGTGGCTGCCACCTGCACAACCCAACCAGGGCCGGGGAGAAACTGCAACTGTGGTAGGCGCCCTTAGCGGGAACCGAACCCAGGTCTTTCTGAACTGCAGGTGGATACTCTAACCGCTGAGCCAAACTGGCCAGGGGAAGTCCCTTTTTCTTTAATGGTTTTACCACCCAAATATTTGCCCCCAGACCATAGAGTCTCACTGCCACACACATTCACACACTTTAATTTTTTAAAAATATATTTTAAGTTTTTTAAAAAACTTTACCATTTATCTTTTAAAAAGCAGGGGCCTTTTGACCTGCAGAGTCTTCCATAGACAGGACTTTGCAAATTGCATGATCATAGTGCAGTTCAATGTGTTCCTCTGTTCTGTTCCCTGTGTTTCCTACAAACTGGTTGCTGCTTCTCAAGTATAGATCAGATTTAGGTTCCATCCCATTAGCTGCATTTTAGGTGGTAGTGTGGCTTTTCCTTCAAGAGGCATATAATGTCTAGTTCTCTTTATGACCTTTGAAAATGTTGATGCACAATGCCTATTATCTACTGATTCACAGGAGATTGCAAACTTGGGATATTCTGTCATTTCTCTTTTACGTAATAGTGGAATACTTTTATGTAGATTCACTTCCCTTTATCTCTTATTTAGTTACCCAAGTAACCAAACTTAACTTTTTAAAGTTCCTTTGGAGGAGAGCTCCTGTCATCATCATCTACGTAGTTTTCTTGGGGTCCTATACCTTTGGACTGTGGCTACTTGTTGGATCTGCATGAGACATTCCCTGTAAGTGAGACTAAGAGGCACAGTGAAGTTGTATGTAAAGCAGATGTATATTAATGAAGATTTAGTAGTAAATTCCAGCCACTAAGAAACAAAATTGTTGATTCTCTGGTTGATTCTGTATTCAAGGTCCAGTCTGTTTCCTGCTGGTGGAAAGCCTTTGTGACTTTCATGAAGAGATTGTTAACAAAGGTGAATCGATGGAAGTGAAGTAAAAAAGATTCTTATGAATCTATTTTGGGTCAGTATGCAGGGTTCTGAAAGTCAGAAATTAAATCATTATTTCCATTTGTATCTGAGCACAATTTGGACTTCAAATGAAAGTGATTCTTCTTTCAAATAGTCTCATTTGATATGTCTGCAGTAATCTAGAGATCATACAACTAAACCATACATTTAGTAAAAAAATTGCAAACGTAGTTACTTTGAGAGTTCAAAAATCTTGGGTTTTTGGTTTGTCTTTATATTTACTACTGTACATATGCTATAGTATGTAGAAAGAATAATTAGTTTCTTATATGATAATTGATAACAGCTATTTAAAAATATTTTCAGCCCTGGCCAGTTTGTCTCAGTGGTTAGAGTGTCGGCCTGCGGTCCAGAGAGACGGGGGTTCGGTTCCCGCTAAGGGCATGTACCTCGGTTGCAGTTTGTCCCCGGCCCTGGTTGGGTCTTACTGGTGGCAACCACTTGATGTGTCCCTTTCACATCGATGTTTCTCTCTCTTTCTCTCTCTCTCCCTCCCACTCTATCTGACAAAATATGTAAAAATGTCCTCGGGTAAGGATAAAAAAAAAAAATTGACTCAGAATTGAAGAAATTATTAACTTATATGGTTTTCAATATTTAAAAAATAGAATAGTTTGCATAAGCACCAAATGTTTTATTTCATTAATATAACTTTTATTTATTTTTATTAATAACCTGACGATATTTTTTCCACTGATTTTCAGATAGAGTCAAATGGAGGGAGGGAGAGAGAGAAATATGGATGTGATCTATTGGTTGCTTCCCACATGACGGAGGCAGGTATTGAACCTGCAATCCAGGTATGTGCCCTTGATGGGACACCAAACCCTTGACCCTTTGATCCAAGGGCCAACGCTCTAACCACGGAGCAAACTAGCCAGGCCGGTATGATAACTTTTAAAAGAACAGAAGTCATTAGAAATCATGACATTAAGAATTGATGCTATTTCTTTCATTTTATATTTTCTAGCATTAGTTTTATAGGGCCATACCTAGATGTTTTTGAATGTTGAAATGTTTTTCTTGTAACACGGTTTTCCAATAATTTGCTTCCAGTTGATTTAAAACTTGTAATTCAACTTTGCTATAGCATGTTAGTTTCATTATACTCAAGGTTTGAGAAAAATGTTTCCCCCCTTCTTTTGGTGAGAATGCACACCCAGGGTAGGGGCTTCCGGGCGGAACGTGCTTAAACAATTCCTTTGTTCTTACTACCTCCTTCCCTCAAACGTAGGGAGGGGTCCGGGCGCCACAGTCTTCTATGAGCAGTAGCTGTCCTGGGGCTGCGTGAGCTCACTTCACAACTCAACTACTGACGTTTCCGTTTTGTATCTTTAGCAATTGAAAGCAGCTACCCGAAGCTCAGAAATCCGTGGCTGTGCCGGCCTGAGAGAGTCCAGCTTCGCGCGGGCGGGGCATGTCGGGTAGGAAGGAGGACACCCCCGCGGGGGCGCCCGGCCACCACCCCAACCCAACTTTCCCGGCGTGCCCCGCGCGCCACGGGGACTCTTAATGTGAAGCGCCCGGTGAGCCAGCCGCGTGGCCGCGCCGGCCAGGGCGGAGGGCGCGCGCCGCTGCGGCACAGCCGGTCCCCGCGGCGGCTTCTCGCGGGCGGTGTGCGCGCGCCTCCCGGCTCCCGGGCGGATTCGGGTCTCGGGCACCGCAGCGGGGCGGGGAGCGGTAGGTAAGTGTTGGCGGGCCTGGTCCCGAGGTCTGCCTTTGTGTCCCGGAGATGTCTCCAGGACGCCGCTTCGGCGGAAGTCCGCCGGGTCCGACCCCCCTCCCCTCGCGGGACCAAAATCCTCGTGAGGAGAAAAGCCCGCAGATGGGTTTCCGGCGCCCGCTTTCGTGTCGAGGGTGAGGTGTGACGATCGGGGAGGGGGTCACCTGATGGAAATCGTAAACTCAGTCGTGGGGACAGGTGAAGTCGAACTTATCTGTTTCCTGCAGGCCTTTGGTGTCCTTATCCCGCCAGAAATGACGAGACCTTCGGGTGTTTGCTGATAAAATATTTGCAGATACGATTTTTTTTTCTCCTTCTGGCAATTAACTGAACTCATTAAGAATTGTGGAGTTGGTCGGCGTCCTCCCAACTCGAGCGGAGCGCGTGCGGCTCGCTCGCCGCCGCTTCCTTCCTGCCGGTCGCCGGGCTCGGCGGCTGTCTGCGGAAGAGCCGGGAGAGCCTTAACCCGGCCTTTTCTTTTAAACAAAACCTTACTTTTTATAGCAGGCAGCGTCTTCGGGGTCACCAGCCCAGCTCTGCGCTCTCCAAAGACCTCTTCTGTTTTGATTCTTTCTGAAAATTCCTGGGCTGAAGCAATTTATTTATAAACAAACCAGCCAGCCAACGAACAGGATAAACCAGGCCGTGTAACCAGTTTGTGAAAAGGCATTTTCCAGGCCCTTTAATTGTGCTTGTGTTAGCTGCTAAGCGACTAGCTGCAGCTGTGACCTGAGCAATTGAGGGTTTTTTGTTTGTTTGTTTGTTTGTTTGTTTGTTGGTACGTGCCCCTAGCGGGAATCGAACCCGGACTCGGGTCCGCAGGCTGATGCTCCAACCGCTGAGCCAACCGGCCAGGGCTTGAGGGGTTTTTTTAATGGTTCTCAAAACAAAGTGTAGTAATATCAGTGGAATTACTGATGAATCCAGCCAGAGTCAAAGAACTTCGCTCTCAACCCTCCCGTCCCCCAAATTCTGGCGCAGTTCTCAAACATAAGTGTGCTCCTTAAAAATGCCAGTACCACTCCCAGAAATCCGAGTCTAGAGATGTGGATTGACCCCTGAGTATGCATTTTAGGCAAACACTGGGTCTGTTGCTCGTCACCCAGGGACCACACTTGGAGAAACACCACCATAGGGCTGGCCTGAGAATTTTTACAACCGCCTGGCTCCCTCATCCCTTTGTTGTTTCTGCCCCTCAACCTGTCATAAGCCAAGAAGCTCTGACTCCAGAAGGAAACTTAAGAAAAGATAGTGCGTTTTCTTGGACTCTGACACCAGGGTAGGAAATGACTTTCATCCATATTTCTAATACTGCCTTTGGTGGCTTTGAGATAGCCGGTGCCTATGAATCTGACCTTTTTCGTTCTGGGGGCTACTTTCAGTATTATCACATCAACAAAGCTTTTATACCGATTCCCCCCCTCAACTAGCTCAGTCTCCTTAGAACCAGGGCAGCCAGTGCCATGTAATTAAGTCCCATGGCCTTGAGCTCTCAGATTTCCTGGTATGTAGCAGTACCAGTAGCACTTATCAGGGCTTTCAGTCCAGTCATCAAATACCCCAGTAATGCCAATTTTATGCAAAGCACTTGAGTGAGCCATTTCAGCAGCAACATTGCAAAGATGGCACAGTTACATTGCTCCCTTGAGGCAGGGCTGGATCACCTCCTCTGCTGCCAAAAGCTTTTTCTGTTTCTTAGTCTCTCTTCAAATAGATTTGTAGGCACGAGGTTAGAGTTTAGCTATGTGTTTCTGACCTTTTCTGTGTTTGGTGTCTGATTTCTCTCATTAATCCATCTTTTTCTATTGGTTCACAAAATGTTATGTCTTTCCTTCTATAGTCCTGGGTTTCCTAATTATCACATCTTCCTCTGCCCCCAAGTCTGAACATGCCTGCCCCTTCTTGGCTAACTGGAGTAGAAAGTTTAGGGAAGTTGTTGGAAAATGAATGATTTTTAGTTGGAATACCCAGAGTCATGGAACTATGAGGCTTAGCGATACAAGGAAACCTATTACAAATTTATCTAGTGCAGTGCTCTAGTCTTTCAGGTAAGGAATCTGACAAAGGAGATGGTAGAGTGAGGACTTCTGGCTTCTAGCCCAGTGTTCTTCTCACTATAAGTCATCTCAAGAAAAATGCTTCAAAAATGGAAAAGGTCCAGAGAAATGAAGTTATAAGGAGATAAAAAAAAAAAATGGAGAGACTTTCACATGACTACAAAAGCTGTATTATTTGGGGAAAATGGAGCTTGAAGGAGAATGTATGTGATCAAGCCATGTAAATCATGAAGAGTGTGAGTACTAAAATAAGGAAGTCTGAAGCTTGAAATAAGTAGTAAAAGGAAAAATAAGAGCAAATAGTTATCTTGTAATCCCAAGAGATCTTATTTTTTTAAAGATTCAGTAAAGGTTAAGATGGGTACAGTGGTGAAATTTTATTATATGTTAGATGTTTGAGCAATGTCCAGAATCTTGAAGTTGTCACATAACTATACTGTTATCCTTACCAGAGTTGTTAGGTATCTCTGTGTGAGACAGAATATAAAACTGATACAACTACTAACATGATTTAGTATATTCTGATGTTCCTGTGGGAAATGAGGTTATTGGAGTAGTATATGCATTTCTGGAATAGTGGAAAGGAAAGAAGTATGGATGAAAGAAGAGAACTTTTTGATATTTATGCTTGGAGTCCCCAAATTAGACATTGTTGGATTGTTCTTGTATATTCATGAAAAGTAGAATTAGAAATATTATAGTAAGGACTTATAGTTCATAGACATTATTATATACTGGATACCATACTAAATACTTTTACGTCTGTTGTCTCATTTCATTATCTTTATCTTATAACTGAGGAATCTAAGACAGAGTTTAAGCTTGCCCAAAGTCATAAACCTAGTAAGTGGTCGGTGTTCAAACTTAAATCTGGCTGACTCCAAAGCTGTTAAGATTTATGCTCAGTAGTGCCCTCGTTATGCAGTTGACCCTTGAACAACATGGGCTTGAACTGTACAGTTTCATGTATATCGAATTTTTTTTTAATGACTGCAGCTCAGTTGACCCTCATAGTTTAAACCTGTGTTATCCAAAGGTCACCTCCACTGTTGAGAATCTGAGTATACCCAGTATGTGAAGGGCTTATGCAGATTTTGGATAGTGTGGGAGGTTGACACCCCTAACCCATATTGTTTAAGGGTCAGCTGTACTTATTGGGTAGTGGTTAAAAATGTTGCTTTAGAGCCAGTCTTTCCTGGGTTCAAATCCTAGTGCCTTCATTTACTAGCTTGGATAAAGTACTCATCAATTTCTATGTCTCTGAAATAGTGCTGGTAATAGTACCTACCTCAGAGGGTTATTAGGATTGAGTTAGTTCATGTAATTTACATGAAGTGCTTACAGCTGTGTCTGAGACAGTGCGAGTTCTCAGGAGATGCTCTATGTTCATTGTATTTTAAACTGATAAGAACAGACACTACACTTGATCTTAGCCAAAAGGCCGAGAAGTAATGTTGTTCATTGTGTTTTAAAATATTATAATTTATTTCAAGATACTGTTTTCTTTTGATCCAGATTGTCCATCCCACTGTTGACATTTTAAGGCTTTATGTTAAGAATAAAGTAAACTACCTCTGTTCTTACTAAAACAGAGAGTGCCTTACTACAAGATTGGAAAGCCTCAAGGTGCAGTGGAAAGGTCTGTGACTGGGGCCAGAGGATTTAGTTTCAGATGTCTCTGTCACTATATTCCTATTTGTTTCATAGAGAAGGTTGTAAGGATCAGATAAGGTAACAAATGTGAACGAAATTTGAATTGTATGCTATACAAATGTAAAATACTGTTGCTAAAATTATAGAGGAAAGTGAAAATAAATTACCAGCCTCACAGTAAGCCAGCAGAGACAGACTCTCAGAGGAGAGGCCTGAGAGTCTGGAACCACTGGTTTAAACCACTTATTTCATATTCTTACTTAAATTTATTTATCTTTTTTGCCCTGGCTGGGTGGCGTAGTTGGTTGGAGCGTCATCTCATACACCAAAAGGTTGTGGGTTTGATTCCCCATTAGGGTGAATGTGGGAGGCAACTGATCAATTTGCCCTCTCACATCGATGTTTCTCTCAGTCTCTCTCTCCCTACCCTCTTCCTCTCTTTCTAAAAATATCAATGAGCATATCCTTGGGCGAGGATTTAAAAAAAAAAAGAAAAAAAATTTACTTAAAATTTTTTTCATATATCTCTACCTAACCAGCGTGGGAGCTTAGGATGAACCCTGAAAGGTTTTGTTCAGTCCTTTGTTCTCCTCCGTGCTGGTGCCGTCACACAGTAGATATTTGGTAAATGTATGCTGACTGTATCTATATGTTGACCAGTTTGCTGATAATCTGAAAAGATTGCCAAAAACTTCTCTATAGTTTTGAGGGATTAAAAAAGAAACCTAGCCGATAAAAAAAAGAAGTACTTGGACATACAAAAAATTCATTGGAAAGCTATCTAGTTTTTAGTTCTAAAACTACAGGTTTGGTTTACAGAAATAACATGTTTTTTATTCGTAAATGTTTGGAATTAAGAGTTAATAGTGGTATCATAATTGTTTTATAACTTCTGCAAGTAGATGTATTCAGAATCCAGTACTTACTCTCTATAAAAAAAAAAAACAGATACCCAGAGATATAAATAGAAGGTTGTTGGTATTGGAATTGAGGTGAGGGATGATGTGGTGGCTAAGTATTAATGCAAGAAAGGAGAAACAAGGAGAGAGTTTAAAAAATAAGGTTTTCAAATATTATTTTTGTAAGCTTGAAACTAGTTTTGAATATATAAATAGTAAGAATAACAGCTAACACTTTGTCAGTGTTTACTGTATGCCAGAGACTGTGCTTTGTAAGAAATGTTTGTAATTTCTAAAAGAGTTCTTCCAAATAGATACTATTATTATTTAATTTACTGGTGAGAACTTTGAG